CTCTACGTCCATCCCATGGGGAATGGGAGCAGTAACAAAGGTGTTGCGTTTATATTTTTGTTGAGTGTAGTATTCAGTTTTACTTTCCCTGAATACCTCTGCCTGCATTTATACCCTCAATTTGTGTGTCCTCGTCGCCTTGTTATACTGTCGTCCACTCTTGCATCCTGATTGGTTTATTGTGGCTTACCGTGTGTCTGCATTTGGGGTCTTTGTTAACAAACGTGACTCTTTCGAATTTTTAATTACTGTAAGAATAAAACAGCATGAAATACCTGAGTCTGGACACTGTTAGAGAACATGTTTGCTGACGAATTTCATGCTTTCTGGAACTGTCCTGTGGGTTCTTCTTGGCAACACTGATGATTTCAATAATCAGCACAGGTTAACCTGATTTTAGTCTTTTTTATATCGCCACTCGAATGAACTCAAAAAACAAGATCAATACTTCTTAAAAATACAACCTGCAAGTGAGGAAGCAATGGCTAAGAACTGGTTAAATAAAGAATATCCAACAAACTTGAACAGATAAAATAAAAAGTTCAGGAAATCTGTGAAATTCATCAGCTGATCTTCTCTGTGAGAGTCTAGATGGCGAGGTTTCAATAACCTCGCCATCTAGGTTATTGAAAACTCGCCATCTAGACTCTGTGAATATAAGTACATAAATGACTAAGCTTTGCCTGTTTGTGTTGTTGTGACTACTGTTACTGTGTCTTTCTGGAGAGAGGCGGCAGATCTGTAGATATGACAGTTGGGTCCCTCCATTTTATAAAGAGGCCGATTTATCTTCAGAATAATAATTTAAAACAAACAAACATTGACTTGTTCTGATACCAGCTGCATCTTGAAGTGTGACTGATGTGGATGAATTATGACAGTAGAAGCTCCTTATCTCATCTATGTCTGTTTCTTCCCAGACAAAAGTCAGCTTTTGTCTGGGAATCGCAGCTGAACACATCGTTAGAGCTCCTGTTACACTTCTGATTCACAGTAAAAACAACACAACCTGCTTTTTATTTTCAAACTTTTTGATCTGAACAGAACTTATTCAGAAGCTCCTGATGTTAAAATTGAATGACTGAAAAACCTCCAAACTCTGAATATTAAACAGACTCGAAGAATAAACCACCTGGAACCTGAGCCCAAACCTAAACCTAAGCCTGATCCTGAACTCAGTCCTCTGAAGGTCTGACATGAAGTAAGGACCAGGCGGCATGTCCTCACAGAGCCATAGAGACCAGCACACACACACACACACACACACACACACACACACACACACACACACACACACAGCGTTGGCGTGGATCAGTTGTCTGTCGGCGACTGCAGGGTGAGTCCACATTCTGTTTTCCTCTCTTTATTCTTACTTGTGTGACATCATGATGACATCATCTACCTGTGTGTCCAATCTCTAATCATGTGACTGATGACGGGTTTAATTTATTAGCGGGTTTGATGATGTTGTGAAATGTAAATAGTATTAGCCCGCCCTCCTCTGGCAGTCAGACAATATGACTGTTTAAAGCTGTTTACACAAACAGAAAACAAACAAATGATATTTACTCATGATATCACTCGTATGTTTACAATTTCCTGTCAAGAAGAAAGAACAGAAACATGTTTTTTAGTTCTGAGTTCATCTCTGTGTGTCTTAGTAATGAAAACGGATTTTAACATCTGATAAATACTGCAGTTTCTTATTGACTGCCCAGCTGATCACATGACCGATTGTGTCCAGCTGTCTTCAAGTTTTTGCTGTTATGTCTGGTTTGAAAACCTCAAGTCAGCCATCATTGTGCCAGCTCACCAGCTGTCGCCTGTCCAAACAACTGTTGTCCAGCTGGTCTACAAAACATCTGTGAGAGACAAGACGCAGTCCTTACACACCTTCATCAGCACACCTGTATGGATGCTGCTTGTTGATTTGAGCTCTGTGTTCAGCACCATATTGCCCAACAAACTGGTTAATGAAGTGACCGCTTGAACTCTTTACTGAGCACATGGATCATAGATAGGCCCAGAATGCCAGGATGGGAGGCCACACCTTATTAACCCTAATCCTGAGCACAGGTGTGCCACACAGGTGCATCTTTAGTCCTGTCCTCTGCCTCCCATTCACATTTCTCATTTTTGGAAATGAGAAGATACACTTCAAACATGCACTATGATAAACAGCTGAACCTTCACATTTATTTTATTTACAGCCTATAGCACATTTAAAGTACAGGTGGTGATCCAAAGTGCCTTAAAGACATTCCAGGTCTCAACAAACACAGTTTAAAAATGCATGAAACGCTGAAAGGTGTGTTTTATTGTGTTAACTAATTATTGTGGAAAAGAAAAATTACAGTGAAATTGATGATGATTAATCTCATGAGTCATGAAACACTGCTCTCACTTACATAAGGTGCCTTTATAAGTTAAAAATATTGGTATTAGTAAAATTTGAGAAACATTTTTTACATTTCAAAAAAATAAAACTCCAGTAAGCATCAGGATTACAAACCATCCCAAGGTTTAAATCAATCAACACCTGAGGGAAGCTGTGTAACACCTGCAGGGTGATGTCATCAAAAGGCAAAGACCCCCACACATTACAGCAAATATATGAATGATTATTCAGAACAGTCTGAACAAAGAAAAGAATAAAATCAGCCATAATTAGACCGATTAGACTGGACATGTAGTCATACGCTTATGGACAAGAACAAAAATCATATAGGCCAATTATAATTTAAAACTATATAAAATAACCTGGTATCTAAGCAGTTAGTACAGCAACATCTACAGATTTATCACCACAAAACAAAATGGATGATCAGTTTGACAAATCTGTTTCTTATATTTTTATATTTTTGCAATTAAGAACATAAACAAATCCATAATTTTCTGATTGCTTTATTTTGAAAAGGTACAGTTCCTTAGTAACTTCCTATTTATATTACTGTTGCTTCAGGGCTTGTGGTGATTGGTTCCTGCTGACCAGGTGAGTCTGACTAACATCATCATCCAAAACCAGAACTGGTCAGATCCAGTTCAGACCGGCAGGATGTTCAGGTACACGCCTCCCTGGGTGGTTCTGTGTCACAGTCTGGACCAGGAGACGAAGGTGAGACACGCACTTTCTGTCCCCAGGGTCAGAGGTCAGAGTGGTGTGCTTGCATTACTTGCTGTTGTGTTACAGAAGCTGCAGTTCAGCTGAGGGGGGCAGCAGGGAGTGCTCTTCAGTTTGATGATCCAGCGTGGATCACGAGCTGAGGCCACTCTCCTGTCCTTCTGCGTCTTACCATAAAACACTCACAGGCTGCCACTGCCTGTTAGGAATATCATTAAAGACTGGTCTCTGGGGGCGGGGCGTTGCTTTAGGGGCGGGGCCTGTGAGTGGGCATTCAGTGACCTTTGGCACATCAGTCAGTTGTTCTTCAGGCTGTGCAGCAGGCAGAAAACTGATCAGAGGTAAGAAATCAGCTCAGATCTACCTTTACATGATCAATCAGACCTTTAATCAGTAACAACTATAATCAATAACATCTTTAATTAATGATATTTATAATCATTGACTAGTGATGAGACTGGGAGCGCCATTTTTCTGAATCCAAGGTGCGAAGGAGAGTATACTCCTTCACACCTTGCTGCCTTATTATTAGTTATTGATTGTCACATGACCAGGACTTGGTTACTTCTTGAAAGCACCCGAAACACAAAGTTTTACAGCCCTGCCCCCCGAGGATCAGTTTCTGGGTCTCTGGGTGGTCTCCAAACAGTTGGACATGTTATCAGGTGACAGCAGCGGCTTGTCTGCAGGAGGAGCCTCTTATCAGGCATGCTCAGACAGGAGGGTGCTCTGAGGCCGCCGCTGTCTGGAACACTCCAGGAATCAGTCGAGTGTCATCTGCGGCTCGTGTTTGGCTGGTGAATTTCTGCACAAACAGGTGAAAGAAGACTTTATACCAGGGAATAAAATAACAGGCCTGGGGACCAGAAGAGGCCCTCTGAAAGGCCGGTCTGTTCCTGTGGCGTGACGGAGTAAAAGTTCGCAGATGCCCACATAACTGCCCGCAGGGGTATCAGAGCAGCTACTGAGTGCTAAAGTGATTTCTGAAGCTCTTTCAGGGGCGCTCAGGTGTGAGGAGATGGTAGCATAAAGAGTCCCTGACAGCAGGAAATGCTGGAATGACAAAGAATAAGAAGAAATGTTGTCTCTGAGCACCTCATAGCATTTCCAGCCTGCACGGACTAAAGATTATAGATGGCCATCACTGCCGGTCTGAGTCCTGACTCAGCTCAAAGACACAGACAGTTGAGGAGCACACCTGACCTGATGTCCTGCACTCAGGTGTGTGTGTGTATCTGTAACCCTGGCATGCTCAGCTGATTGGTGACGGCTCTGAGCCGCAGTTCTCCGTGCTAACAGGCCTTTTTACAACTTTGTCAGCTTTTGAACTTTGAACTGCTGCAGGTTTATAACCCTCTGACCTCCACCTTTATCCGAGCAGCTCTGAACTTTATCCGTTTTATGGTGGATTAATTATTAGAGTTCATGACCACAGACGAGCTGCCTTCCCATAAACGGTCATATGACTTCAGTCAGTCTTTTACGAGAGTCGCTGTAAACATTATCATTGATCTATCATTCCTTGGATTCAGTTAAATTTCCTCCATAAAAACTCAGCTGCTGATTCCAGTTCAGGTCAGACATGCTACAGTCAAACACGTGCCCCGGGGCCCTGAACCAGCCCCCCAGCTGGATAAATCCGGCACACTTAGTGAATGTACAGAGAAAAGTACAGGAAGTGATTAGTGGATCGGTTCTGCTTCTCCTCATTTCCTGTCTGTGTCTCATGTTTAGTGACAACGTTCATATAAAACACATTCCTAATGATGAGGTCAATGAGTCCCTGTGGCCCCAAAGCTCAGGGTTTGCTCTGAAGTTTATGGATTTGATAAACTTCTTTAAGTGGTCACAGCAGCTCCACCTACCTGCCCGATGATAACCGGTCTGCTGTGACCTCCTGTCTCAGCTTCCGGCTCCATGTTTGGATGGATCTGAGTCTTTTCAACCCTTATGTTCAGTGCAGGGTCTGTACTTTACAACGTAAAGTGCACTGAGGAAACCATTGTTGTGCTTTGGCACTATATAGATAAAACTGAGTTGAACTGGATGTTTCCAATGCAACCAATCAGCCCTCCAAATTGATTCCTGTTACTAGAGAAACTGTCCTATCCCTATTGCTGTCCTCTGTGGTTGCTACAGTAACCATTCTTTCCTCCCTGTTGTTTCAGAGACTTTCTGCGGGCAACCATCAGGATGTTTTGACTTTTCCATCTTCTCAGTCGAGTTCTGTTCATCACCATCTGTCAGAACCTCTGTCTCCCGCTGGTTCTGCCACACCACCTGCAGCCATGGACAGCACTCCAAAGAATTGGGTTTTAAAGCCTCTGTCCCCCACGCTCCAACCATCAGACCTACGCACCATTGCTGTACCAGCCCCAGGTCCAAATGACCTGGACACCGCCTTTAGGAGCATCTCAGTTTCACACAGTCAGCCTTGCGTAGTCGTCTCCTCCCAGCAGGGCGACGAGTCTCAGGATGTTGTGGTTCAGGCCCGGCAGATTGCTGTGTCGCCTGATGGGGGAAACTCCAGTGACGAGTGGCAACCCAGCAGTCCCAGCAGTCCTGGCAGCAGCTCAGGCTCTCATTGTGGGTTTTACTCCTTTGTGGAAGATCCAGGAAGCCCCAAGGCTGAGCATAATGAAGCTTGGATGGTCTCACCCCAGCGCCAGGCTATGCTGGCCACCCTGAAGCAAGAGAAGGGCTTCAAACTACAGACCTACACAAGCAGCAAGAAACCCGAGAGTCTATTCTCAGAGGGCAACGGAGACCTGCAGTACAAAGTTGATGCAAACAATGGAATCAGAGTGGTTGGTGAGGAAGAGGAGAAGGAGCTTCGCAAAGAGATCATTCGTACCCAAGCTCCAAAGAAGAGTGCTGGGTTTCAGGACCAGCTGAGCTCCCAGGAGGATCTGAGCCAGTCTACAAACAAACTGATAGAAGGTTTCAGTTTAAGCTACAAGCCAGTCAGTTCCAGACCAGAACCCCCTCGTCCTGCTGAGCCCGGAACCATCGACAAGGAGCAGATCAACTTCAACACAATCCGACAACAGTTTCTGAAGTTGGAGCAGGACCGGCTGAAGGCTCCGTCCAGTCCTCTGAAGTCCCCAAGAACACACCTGAAGTCATATTTGTGGCCAGATCTTGATGTAACCACACCAAAGAAGGTGGAGACAAGTAACAACGCAGCACAGTTTAAAGCACCTGAAGAAGATGAAGCATATCGACAGAAGAAGGTGACGGTGTTCCAGACTGAGGAATGTTTGAGCAGGCAAAGCAGCGTGTTTGATGACCTGGACTCTGGACTGGAGGAGCTATCAGGAGAGGTGGGTGGTGGCTACGTCAGCGATGATGGGGTGTTCAACGATAACATACAGCAGCTGAACAGACCCATCAAGTCCACTAGTGCTTGTGAGACCCCAATTGAACGGGAGATTCGGTTAATCCAGGAACGTGAGGAGAACCTGCGCCGCTCTCGAGGCCTGAAGCTTAGTGACAGTTGGGGACAGATGGTTGAGATCAAAACCAAACGCTTACAACCACGACCAGCACCGATCAAAATGAAAGAGAAGACTCGAGTGAGCTTCATTGTCCAGGGAGAGGTCAAAAACGAGAACCAGAATAAGCTTGATCCTTCTCAGAATATCGAAGAGACTAGAAGTCAGTCGGAGCCACGAAACAAGGACAGGTGGACAGAGGAGAGCAGCCAGCCTGAGTCTGAAACAAGTGAAGTCTTTCCATCTCCTTGCTGTCCTCATCGACACCCTGAAGAACAAAAACAAATGAGCCCGATTCCCTCTTCCTTGATCGAGATAGACTCTGGGGTCCAGGACAGAAGACGTCTTGACCAGGATCAAGTGTTTTCCTTTTCCTCTACTGCCTCCCTAGCATTGACACCTCAAAATGAAACAGCCCTTCAGTCCTGGAGGGAGAGCCTGAAGTCCACTGGCCTGCAGTGTAGAGGAAAAGGAGCCCCAGACTTCATTGAGAAGGAAATTGAGGAGGCTCTGAGAAGGGAGCAGGAGCTGAGGGAGTCCAGGGAGGAAGCCAAACAGCAGCTGTTCTCTCCAGCTCCTCTGGTGGAACAAGCGACCCAGAAGGCCGTCAGTCAGTTCTACCCGCCGATAAAAACAGGTACGTACTGTTGACCCGATCACAGCAAACTCAAAGTGCCCCATAATTCTCAATGTCAGTTTGTTCTGACAGTCCAATCACGTCTAAACGTTTTTTGATGTTTCCAGACCTCATTAGATTTTAGTCCTTTGATATCTCAGGAAAGACTCAACATAAATTTCAGCTTAGGACCAAATATGATTTTTGAGGTGACTCTAACTGTCACCGGCCTTATTAAACCCATGTAACACTGTTGTTGGTCCAATGGTGTCTGAGTGACTCATCAGGTCCAGCAGTAAAACCTCCCAGGAGGCCCACATTGACCAATGCTGTGGTTCATGTTCAGCTCAAGGCTCTAAAATGTGCTCAGTTAGGTTTAGGAAAAGATGGTTTGGGTTGAAATATGCTGTTTCACAGTAACCCTGCTCTGTTGCATTAAATTATTGTGTTTCAGGACGATGTGTGGAGCAGCAGTCACAGTGACTGACTGAAGGTTAAACACATCTCATCACTGTTAGCTTAAATTAATCAGCAAGTTTAAAAGTCAAATATGTGGAAATGTCCACAAAGCCAAACAGTAACCTATAACCATATTTGCGCTTAGCTGTTCTCAGATGTTCTTCAAAAGAACTATTTAAAGCTTTATTCAAACAGAGCAAAGACAACAAATGAAGTGGTAAAAAAAGAAAACACAAAGAAAAGCTGCGAGGCTCACATGTATCCATACTCAGGACAAGCAGGATGTTATACAGTTTCCTCCAGCTCATCACTGTCATTAGTTTGTAGTTTTCAGGGTTTGTTTCAGTCTGCAGTTCCTCTGTCCACCTGGTGCTGTATGGCGTTATTTTTGTGCCACTATTCTGAGTGCACGTAAAAAAAAATTTGAGCGCATGTAAACATTTTCTTTACAAGTGTTGTATTTTGAGGAGAAATTTATCTTGAGCAAAGAAATGCTACATTTTGAGCGAACAAAATTCATTGCTGCATGCAAAAAATGTATTTCAGTGTTTGCTGCTATCAATAGAAACACACAGTAACAGCTCCTCTTGCTCAGTTTTTGCATTTGTTCTTGCTCAGATCTCTGCGGACCTGTTCGCAGTGTGTCGCTTGCACTCTGAACATCTCTGCTCCCTGTGCGTTCAACTCTTTCTATAGACTGTTATATTTGTGCCACAAAACCAACCAATCACACACTTGGATGCAAAAACTTCTGATTGCCTGTTTTGGTCTCTCTTTGTTCACTCAAATTTAGTTTTTCTTTGCTCAAAATAAATCTCTCCTCAAAATGCAATGCAACAACTTGTTTTTACGTGCGCTCAGAATAGTGGCACAAAAATAACGCCATACTGCTGCTATCATCAGATTTTCACAAGCAACTTTTACTAACAGGGTTTTTTTTGTTTATAAACACCCAGTTTGTGATGTTCTGACTTAAGTGACTAACAACAGGTGATGCTGAGGGGGAAATCTTCAAAATAAAAGACCCAGAGATCAGAGCAGAGAGACAGAGTGCTGCTGAAGGTTTAAATGGAATCCACTGAAGGAGTGTGAAAATGATCTGCAGGAAGGAAGGTAAACTTGTTACATAAAAATCAGAGAATGAGTAACTCAACGAAAGAAATGATCAAAGTCCAGAGAAGCACCGAAATCCACTTCAGTCAATCAGTAACAGCTGCTCCAAAGCCACACACACACACTCGCTCATCAGAGCAGGCGACCAATCAGCACATTCTGTTATCCAGAGAATCCACGCTGGGAAACATTGCAGCAGCGCAATCTTAAGAAACCCTGCCTCACAGCAGACATGATGAGCAGACTGTAGATAAAAGATGGACCCAACCTCTGTGATGTTACTCATTGGTTTATGAACCCCTGGTTTTAACAGTTTCGCTGCATGATCATCATCAGTGTGCATCCTCAGACTGTACAGGTGTATCACACAGACACAGATATCTGCTAACCAGTGCTCAGTAACATCCAATTATAATCCTCAAATCTCACTGCACACCCAAACTGGAGCTTAGACCTGTTGGACTGTGTGTTGGTACAGTAACCTCTCAGCAGCCATACAATTGGTCAGATGATGTCATTAAAAATGCTCCAAAATCTCCAACTGTACAAACACGGTGAAGCTAGTGTTACAGGTACCATGTGGCAACACCTGTAGAAAGCTATATATGTGTCCTGCAAGCAAATTTTCAAATGAAAATATCACTTACATTGAAAGTAAAATAGCTTAAATATAAATGAATTCACATAAATGTGATCACGTGTTAGTGGATATCACACTACCAGACAGCTAGTAGCTACAGACACATGGAAGTCTTTGAGGACTTACTTACTGCTCCCTCTGCTGGCCGTTAGAGGAACAACCACAGCTTCACATTAAAATGATTCCACTGAATATAACTGAAAACTGGAAAGCTCCACCTTAAATGTGTTTCCTGTTTAAAGTTCTGTTTCCATTTAAATAATAAAAAATAAAAAAACATGATCGGAGGAAACAGCTGCTGTTCAAACACTGATGACATCACAGCGTGTCACATATGACGTCATTCATGATTTCCTCCACGGTGTTTCAGAGAAACCAGCCAGCGTGTCTTCTCCTCGCCCCTCCCTCCGTCTGCCCTCCGTCTCCTTCATCACGGCTCGGCCCTGGACCTCCTCCTCTCCCTCTCCCTCCTCCCCCTCCCTAGCAGTGCGAGGTCTGACGGAGACTCTGCTGCAGAACTTTGAGGAGTATCGAGCCAAACTGAAGCTGGAGGAGAGTGCAGTAAGTAGTTTTGCTCTTTCTGTTTTTTCAGCCTCTTCCTGCTTCAGGAGATGATGAAGATGATCATTTAGACGTTGTCAATGAAATGATGCTGCACAAATAAAATGGAAGTGAATAAAATAAAAACCAAGGTCCAACAAAGCTGGGTCTGTGTGAACTGTAAAACAAGCCAGAATGCAACAATCTGTAAATCTATTAAACTAATATATTATTTACTACAGAACACAGAAAACACAGAAAATGTTTAACCATGGTAAATGTTTGAATAAAAATATGAGCTTGTGTTGAATCTGATGGCAGCAACACATCTAGACAGGTCCATGTTTCCTCTTCCGTAACATCAGTCTGTGAGCTGAGGAGAACAGCTGAAGATCACAGAAATCCAATACTGATTTACAGCCTCATCCCTGCGCTCAGATCCACTGAATATGCTGATGATGTCATGTTGTGTAATTGATAAAATGTTCACAGCAAGGACTGTGATTCTGAAACAGGTTGGTGAACTTCTGAGAAGCTCCACCTCTCTGAGAGGATCTTTTTCCACCTGATCACGTGGCCGACCTGCTGCCAGCTCCCTTTGATCTTTTCTTTTGCACTGCTGGACTTTGACACACTTTTGCTGCTCCGTCGCAACTTTTAGGTCAAGTCGCTGATGCCAAATTCCACATTAGCTCAGATATGTTATGAAACAGTAAAATGTCTCATTTTGAGTATTTACTGTGTTTTTGTGCTCTATTGTGGATAAAATATGAGTTTATGGGATTTGCAGATCATTGGATTCTGTTTTTATTTGCAGTTCAACCAGCGTCCTGACTGTTTGAACTGAGGTTTTAAAACTGCACAATAATAACAGAATCTATTTTTATTTGTTTGTTTCTTTACAGTACGCAGGGATCCAGCCAGTTGATGAGATCAACAACGAGGTATGGGCTTCTCCTGTAACCTTAACCCCTTTACTCCTTGTCTCCTTAACTCCTTGTCGTCTTGGCCTGTTTTCAGGTTGTGGAGTCGACTCGAGTCAATCGACATAAGAACCAGGGAGCTCTGCTCTGGGAGGCCAGACAATTTGCCAACCAGGAGAACCAGTGAGTGTGCCTGACTCCAAAACCGGACTCGACCTCAAGCAGCAGGGCAGGAGATCCTGAAATACGGGACTGAGTTTCTCTCCTCAAGCTGGGATGCAGTGGTTTCTAAAGACGCTCCAACAGAAATGGCTGTTGCTGATTGGTCCTTGAAGATGACAGCAGTTCCCCTTGTCTAATCAGCAGTCCGTTGGTTAGAGCCTAAAACAGAGACAACGTGTCTGATTCATATAGAGAAAAAAAGATAGTTCCAGTGTTTATCTGGAGACTTTTAATCTGACACAGCAGCACGGGAAGTTTCTGATTGTTTTCATGATGCATCAAAAATAAAAAATGATTTTTAGTCCTCAGACATTCAGATGGTTCACAGCTGCAGCATTATAGCAGAATCCCAGCGACAGGAAGCTCAGTTTTACCTGCTTTCTGAAAAACACCTGAACAGAGGGTTCTAACTTTCTCCAAAAGATCCAGAAACGGGAAGTGTAGCCAAACTGAGAACCCCAAACCCATCTCTGAAACAAAGGTTTACAATGTGTTTTTAGCAGCATTACCAGAAAACCTTCCACACAAAATTAAACAGTGATTCTCATTGCTTTAACCCCCTAAGACCCGAACTCTTTCATTGCATGCATTTTTAATTTCTCTTTGCTATTTGGGCTGATTGTGACCTGATGAATGTAAAAACAAAGAATTACCAGATTTATTTATTTATTTTACCTGATTTTTGTTTATGAGAAAAATGAGATCCACATATGAGGACATTTGTTTTAAATTTTGATAGAACAGTGGCAGTATAATGTCCCTGTAAGTGGATATCAGGCCCTTGTAGAGCAAAATTTTGTATTTAGGTCTAGACAACCAAAAATGTGATGTCCACATATGTGGTACATTTACTTACTTAAACACACCAACACAGCACAAAACATAAACACAATAAACAAACACATTGTTTGGTGAGGTGAGTGTAACCAACAAAATCAGAGGGTACCTGGTGACAGCAGAGAGGAAGAAATCTCTTTAACCGGGAAGAAAACCAGGATCAGGGAGGAGGAGACAGGAAAAGAGGATGTGATGTTTCTCAATAAAGTCTTTCTTTACTTCAGTCCATACAAAAACCAACCATATGGACAGCATCCTCCTCATCATACAACACAAAAGGTGATCAAAAAACAGAAGATCGAACTCACTCATACAGCAGATCATTAGATCAGACCATAATCTAGCTGTGCACCCTGTCAGTGTGAACTCACAGCTAAAGAAAAAGTCACCTGACACCAGATTTAAAATATGTTTCTGGACAGATGAACAAGATGACAATGCATCGAGGTCGGATATTTTTTTCAGCGTTAGTTTCCATTATTAAAAACAACAACGAGTAAATACTAGTAAAGGAAACCACAATAAACTAAAATTGGGCGCAGGTATCTTTTAATTTTTTTCCGCCTAGAAGACTCCGCTCAGGGAAGAATGTTACCGGGGATAGAGGATGGTGTCCGCGGCGCCCGTCAGATAAACAGCCGGTTCGTCGCACAGGGCCGATATCAAACTGATCACAGAGGTTATATCAGTCATCTCACAGACAAACACGTTTATATGACACGCGGCTTAAACGTCTCGCCTAGACGCTGTTTGAGTAGAGCTTTGGGGTGCCGTCAGTTTTTATAGTCAGGCAGCTGTAGAGGCAGCTACGGGGTCCCCACATCCTTTTAACAGAGAGCGGTTTGTTTTTAACAGCAGCAAGCAAAAAGCGCTGAGTTTAACTCAAGTCTGGTGTTTCAATGTTTTGGTATTTTAATTACTTTAAGTTAATATTAAACAGCCTTAAAAACAGGAAAAGAAAAACGGCTAATTTTCATTCTCATCTGCGTGACAGAAGCGGAAAACCTTCAGGTGAGCTAACGCTAGAGGCTAGTGCGGCTGCTCATTCACTGTTGTGACTGAGTACTTTGAGTACTGTGACTATGGTGTTATTTGGCACGGCCTGGGTGAACAGTTTGATGTTCAATTTGAAAAAGAAGCAGCTGAACTGCTTGAAGTTTGTAAAGACGTTTCGTGCAACAGGCTTCTTCAGTTCTACAAATTAAGGTGGAGGGTCCCAGGTGTTTAATCCCCATTAGAGGTGATTCTGGGTCATTTACCCACTAGTGATCACGTGAGTCAACACCAGAACCAAGGTATGAAAGAAGGTGGAGCTCATTACCATCAGTGGGGTTTAATGGTGCAACCACTGTGAGATGTTGCCCCAGCCCATCGTGTGACCGGTTGAGGACACCTGAGCCAAGGTGTGAATCTGGGTGGAAATAGTCGGTTTTGTAAACCCCGCCCTCTGTTCAAAGATGTTCGTTCACAGTGGACATAGATGCTTCTTCCACTAACCATCACTCCTCTCTGTCCGAAATGTGAACATTGGCATCCTCAAAAGAGTGACCTTTGACTTTTAGATGCAGATGTACAGCTGAGTCCCTCTTCTGTGTACAGGTTTGAGCTTTCCTTGCAGCACGGCACTGCACAGCATACACTGTTGTTTAGTTTGTGTTTGGGATGAACCAGTTTGTGTCTGAGTGTGTAGCTGGGTCTGAAGTACACTGGGATGCTTCTATGATAAACCTGCTACATACGGGATTACAGTGTTGTTCCCCTTTGTCCTTCTTATTCTCCCTAGTTGGTGTCTGACCTTCTTTTCTGTGCATCTTTGTTGATTTGATGAAAGTCCAGTGTGGACAACCACATGTTTTAAGAGCTTTCTTCTTTGCATGTATGTTCCTTTTCTTTCGTCCTTCTACTTGTGCTTTGCTTTTTCACCTATCTGTAGTGCTGTCCCCTTTGAAAGTTTTTACTTTCCACTACTTCGGGTAAAGGTGGCACTGGAGAGCCCGTGGCTCATGCATCTGTCTGACACATGTAGTGGTAAGGCAGAGGTCTGATCACTCATGTTCATCTCTGCTCTATCCACACAAACAGGTCAGTAATCGGTGTTTAAGTGATTAGAGCAGCTGACTAGTCTGTTTTTTAGGTGACACATCCACCTGCGATCTAGATTCTTCTTCTGTGGTGGAATCATGGAACTGGCCTATGTGTGTGAGTGGGAGAAGCGTCCGAAGAGCACGCACTGCCCTTCCATCCCGCTGGTCTGCTCCTGGTCCTGCAGGAACCTCGTGGCCTTCACCACAGACCTGAAGAGCGAGGACGACGACAAGAGTACACACACACACACACACACACACACACACACACACACACA